AATCTGGACTGGCAGCCAGATAGTGGCCCAACCCTCTCCCCCTCCTCTTCTCTCTTCCTCTCCTCTCTCTCTCTCTCTCCCCCCTCAATCTGGACTGACGGCTAGACTGCCGGCCCGACCCTCTCTCCCTCACTTCTCTCAGTCTCTCTCTCTAACTCTTCTCTCTTTCTTCTTTTTTCTCTCTCATCCCTCTCCTCTCTCTTTCATTCACCTTTTCATCCGGATCCCTTTTTGCCTTGGGGCCTAGTACTTCGGCTGTTGTAAATTCCTTCAGTGGTCTACAGATGGATACCTGGCCGAGCATTGAGTGGTCTTCTTCTCTCTTTTCTCGTCTCTCTTTCATCCCCCTTATTGTCATCCGAATCCCTCTTTGCCTTGGGGCCTAATACTTCCGTCGTTGTAAATTCTTTCAGTGGTCTACGAGCAGATACCTGGTCGGGTATTGATCAGTCTTCTTCTCTCTTTCCTCGTCTCTCTTTCATCCACATTTTCATCCAGATCCCTCTTTTGCCTTGTGGCCTAGTACTTCAATAGTTGTAAATTCCTTCAGTGGTCTACGAACAGATACTTAACCAGGCATTGAGTGGTCTTCTTCTCTCTTTTCTTGTCTCTCTTTCATCCACCTTTTCATCTGGATCATTCTTTTCCTTGGGGCCTAGTACTTTGGTCGCTGTAAATTCCTTCAGTGATCTACGGACGGATACCTAGCCAAGCATTGAGTGGTCTCCCCTCCTCTCTTTCAATCTATTCTTTGCCTTCAGCATCTACTTCTTCCTATTTCTTTTTCTCTCTTCTTCTCTTTTGCAATCTCTTCTTTTTCTTCCTCTTCTTCTTCCTTCTCTCCTTCTTCTTATTCTTATTCTTTTCTTATCTTCTTCGTCTTCTCTCTTTTCCCTTTCTCTCTTTATTGGCCCACTCATTAGGAGGCTCTTTTGAGGTTCATCTTGCTTGGGCTCGACCCACAGTATCGTTCCTTAAGAACCCTTCGGGGTATTCAGGCTTCGGTCTGATACCTTTCTGTCAATCGTTAATACCTCTTAAGGGAGGTGGCGCTGAAAGGCTATCGAATTGACGAGTGGTCTCTTCCTCTTTTTCTCTCTCTTAATCCATTCTTCTTCTTATCTTCTTCCTTTTCTCTCTTTTCACTTTCTTTCTTCATTCACCCACTCATTAGGAGGCTCTTCTGAGGTTCATCCTTCTTAGGCTTGACCCACAGTATAGTTCCTTAAGAATCCTCCGAGGTATTTGGGCTTCGGTCTGATACCTTTTTGTCAACCGTCGATGCCTCCTAGGGGAGGTGGCGCCGAAAGACTATCGAATTGACGATTGGTCTCTTCTTCTTCTTCTTTCTGTACTTCTTCTTTTCTCTCTTCATCTTCTTATCTCTCTTAATCAATTCTTCTTCTTCTTCTTCTTATCTTCTTCCTCTTCTCTCTCTTCCCCTTCTTTTTTTATTCACCCACTCATTTGGAGGCTCTTCTGAGGTTCATCCTGCTTGGGCTTGACCCACAGTATAGTTCCTTTAAGAATCCTCCGAGGTATTCAGGCCTCGGTCTGATACCTTTCTGTCAACCATTGATGCCTCCTAGGGGAGGTGGCATCGAAAGGCTGCTGAACTCATGAGTGGTTCTCTCTTCTTCTCCTCCCTCTTCCTTCTCTTCTTCTTCTTCTCCCTCTTCCTCTTCTTCTTCTTCTTCTTCTTCTTCTTCTTCTTCTTCCTCATTTTCATTCATCTCCCTCTTTTCTTGGTCTTCCCACTAAAACCAGTCCCATCGCCCCCCTTTCTTTTCCTATTGCTCGTAAATATCCTTACGACAAGCCAGGGGTTATTGACCCGTCAACCAACCATCTCATACGTGTGTATTTACTAAGGCACAGCATGAAGCAAGGGAACTAGAGCCGAACCGAGCCGAGAGGAAAAGGGGCTTTCCGATTCATGATCTGAGAGGGCTGTTCACACGCCCGGGTGTGTCACGAACCCCGACCCCTGAGGTAGGTCCCGCCTCACACCCTTTAAAATCTTTCTTTTGTTGGCTTTAGCTGCACACACGCACATCGTGACCGTGGTCTTGAGAAAGGGTTTTTGGGGTTCGAGTAAAAACCAGGGCTGACCAGATACATGGATAGGGAGATTGAATACCAAGAATTATGTAATATACAAAATACCAAGACTTCTTGATGTAGGAAAATTGAATGAGAACAGAAAAACAACAGCAATTCATGTCAAAGACAAGCAATAATTAAAAGAAACCAACGTTTTTTTCTTCCCTAAGCCAGCAATTGCAAAAGCCTGGGGTTTATTCCTTCCCTTTTCTCTGAAGGGAGTCACATGAATGAGCCTCCACCCCCCCACGCAACACTTTTATTCTTTCAACGTTCAAAAGACAATAATTTTCCATACAAATGATAAATTGACCTGCATGTCCTAATATACGTGACTTTTAAATAAATGACACTGACAATAGATAATATGATTAAAAACATCTTAACTGGTCCATCGATTAGAAATAGTTGAAATTAAATGTAAAATAACCAGAAAATATCCCAAATAATTGCTCTTCTTGTTCTACTTAGAAGCCCAACTATAGTTCACATCCTCCAAATTGTGTTAGAATTGGGACGAATCTGCAGTTTTCATAGGGGCTACTGATCAGTTTTTCAACTTGCTGCACTATCTGCATCATCACTGTCCCCGGGTTGAGGAGAACTCACCCTCGAGTTAGGACCTTCATCTTTATCCATTTTTGGCCCATGATACTAGTACAAATCATAGTTGTTGGAGGTGGGAATGGGATCAATTCAGGGAACGCCAAACCTCCATAGGATGGAAGCTCCCTAGGATTAGGATAGACATCCATACATCGAACAAGTTAAGGAGCTAGATCCTAGCATACCTGGGACTGAGATCCCATGTCACTGGGATCAAGCTTTTGGCTTGGGGGGGGGTCTAAGCTCCACTACACATAAAAGGAGATCAATTAATAGTATATGATAAAATTAGGATCACGTCAATGCCTTTTTGATCCATTATCATGCATCTTACCTTATTACCAATGTTATAGTTATAGTACTCCAATTTTTTCAATAATACGATTTAATAATATCATAAATTAGCTTCCAATAACATTAAAATGTTGTTTTTTAATACGACAATCCTAGTATAGCGCGATTTGATATAGACCACAGTTTAACAAATTCTAAAAAAATGAATTTGTAATATCAACGAGAGGAACAGTAGTTCAATTAATAGTATAGCTCCTCTCCTTGGAGGGTTTCTAGAAGCATGTAGATTGAGATCCCATTTTATAGGGAGCGAGATCCCTATTTCTCTAAACCCAGTTCCCTCTAAGATCTCTTAGAGGAACCGCAGGATCGAGTTCCTAAGGTGGGACCATGACCTTACCCCCAAGGTTCCCACAACTATGGTACAAATCAGCAATGATGAAGATATCTGAATTCTCCATGTGTGAAGGCAAAGAAACCTTGTAAGCATTGTTGCCCATCTTCTTCAAAATCTCAAACAGTCCCACCTTGCGATCATTCATCTTGTTGTATTTGCCTGTTGGATGTCTTCCCTTCTTGAGCTACACCATCACCCAATGTCCCACATTAATGAGACTCAAGATCAAGTCGTGCCATGTTACTGCAACCTTTAGACATTGGATCAACCATTTTAAGGCCCATTGGGTTTGTCCTACTTGTAGTACATAAGCACAACATACTTAGTCCGGAAGACATCGCAGATTACTCTATCTTGAACTTTGAAGCGACTCAAGATTAATGTTGCATTACTCCCGAAATTTCATTCAGCTCGCACTTAGTGATTAAATACAAGGGTTCTCCAACGGAAACAAAACAATGACTGAAGCTGAGCCCCAACATCAGGAATCACATAATCAACCATTCGATGGGCATCTTTATGTTGAATTCACTAACAAAAAGCTCATAGGAAAATACCACCAAGCCCTTGGGGGGCACCTCATATTATATCCCATATTCAAGGCAAGACATCAAAAAGAAACATCCTTACTACCACTCTCATCTCCTTGATCCTCCTTGCCTTCACCTTGTTGTTACCATTGATAATATTGCCCACCAAATCATCATCAACGATAAGACCCTTATCAAAGATTGGTTAACCCATGAAATCACACCAATCATCAAGGATTTGGGGGAAAAAGTCCCTTCCCAGTTCCTTGTCCACTACTCGGGGCTAATCATGCTGTGCTAGTGGTCACTAAATGATACTCTAGGACCTTCTTCCTCAGGTCATCATAAACAAGGTCTCCATCAAACGATATCTTGTTGTGCTCTTCGAGAAACTCCTCAGCAAGGTTCACAAATTTTTTATTCGGGAACTAAAGTCGAATTCTTGAACACTTAAAGTACTTAATAATGTTGTTGATTGGGCGATTCAGGAGGCTAGAACCGCTCCCAACACCCACAATATCCAGTAGTTTGGATGAACTAGGATGCCTGAAGAGCTATCTAGCTACTAAATTCCATTTTTTTCATTGAAATCGCTTCCACTAACACTTGTACCACCTTGGGCTGTGCTCCCTTTGGTGGGCACCTCTACTGAGCTTCAACCATAATTGCTAAGTTGTAAGCTTTATCTAAGGTCCATAACATCGTAAAACCACCACATCTTGTATAGATGTTCTCAATCCTCCAATACAGAGAGCTAAGGACTATTCTGCTCTTTAAACCACACCATTACGAGCCATCAACTGATAAAATTCCTCAATGCACTCCTATACGCTCTTTTCTCCCTGACGAAGAATATTTATCCTATGATAAAGGGATTGTACATAATTTTCAGGTAGGTAGTTTCCTAGCCTTCTTGTTGAAGAAAACCTGAACTCTGATACCAAATTGATATAGGAAAATTGAAGAAAAATATAAAAACAGTAGTAATTCAGGCCAAACACGACCAATAAGTCAAAGAAACCTAGGGTTTCTTCCCAAACCCAACTAGGGTTTTGAAAGCCTAGGGATTTTCCTTCCTTTTTTTTGAAAGAGAGTCACATTAATGAGGCTCTAATCTCCCAAGCACCAGTTTTATATCATTTTTAATATTCAAAAGACAATAATTATCCATACATAATAATAAATTGAACAATATGTCCTAACTTAAGTGACTTTTAAAATAAATCATAGTAACTATAATAAAATGACTAAGAAGTCCTAACTGGTCCAGCAATTAAAAATGACATAAATTAACCCTATACTAACAAGAAAATATCCCACAAAAGGCTTGCTCTTCTTGTTCTTATTGGAAGCCCTCCTAGGTTTCACATCTTCCAATTATAAGACCACTTTGTCCACTTGTTGCGCTTTACGCATCATAACTTATTGAATAGATAAAATACCAAGACTTATGGAATAGTCATCCTCTCTCTCAGGAGAGTGACAAAATCAAACTTCCAATAAATTTATGCAATGCTATGAAGAAAAAGAAAGGTACAATGATATTAAAAACTATTTTACTTGAGTTACCACCTATTAAAATGTCATGCGATTATTTAAATTGATTGGGACAAGACTACAAATGTTGAACAAAAGTAACAAAGACTGAATTGGTCCGGTCATCATGGTAGAAATAGCTCATACTTTTGTTTACTTGAATGACATTAGCCTGCCTGATAGTACTAAAAGCTGTTCTTTCTTAGGAAACTGAAGCATGGAAAGATGCAAAGTCTCTGAATATAATAAGAGACTTTATAAATCTTTAGGGAGGAAGTAATACCCCATCCTTGTTATTACGGATTATGGCATTCAAGATCTGCATTACACCTTTGCTGGCACCATCAGTGAGATATATAAGTTCTGGATCACTACAGAAGATACAACAAACACTGTCAGGTTCTACATCTAGAAGTGAATAGAGTGCAGAGAATCTTCTTGTGAGAAATTACGTATGCAATTTGTATTTTAAAATAATAAATGTAGATTAATTTTTTGACTCTCTCTCTCTCTCTCTCTCTCTCTCTCTCTCGCTCACACACACACACACACAAATCCGTCACACACAAGACATTTCTTATTTATAATAATTCAGTTGATTATGAGTTCAGCAAGATAGTTCCATTCTGTTATAAAAGGGGTGGGGGGTAGCAAGAAAATGTAGAAGGTAACAGGGATTATCTCAGAATAATATCTATTTTTTCAAAATAAAGTCTTGCCAAAAATGGCTTTTTCTGTTATAATATCCATTATTTCCATTCTACCTGTTAAAATGGTGTTATAAAGGAAATAAGGGCCATTATATCTATGGTGCATTCTCTTGCCCATTTCCCTGATATAATTTCATGCCGAGGGGATGTTTCATTTATGACTGCAGTTATTTGGGCTCATAAATTTGACTGCAAAAGATGTCAACCAAAACCATGTCTTAGAAGTTGTAATTACAATATCTGTCGAACTTTGGGGAAAAAAAAATCCCAAATTTAGCAATTATTCCTTAATTATTTCCAAATGTCAATTCTGACATAAAGTGGCAAATCCCTGATATGTACACCAATTATATGAATGTTGGCCACTAGGACCATTAAGCATGGCAGGATCAACATTTTGAGAATATTTTGCTTGTATGTTAATGACGCTCTGCATCCTATGTTTGTAACCCAATCAAAAACATCATGCAGGTTTTGAATCTTCGCCACAAGCATGAGGTTTCAGGTTCAAATCCAATTTCACAACCCACTATAGAAGTCTCAGCTGTCTCGCAATGCAAAAGGTTGGTTTAAAGATGCTTGTGAATAATTAAAATATCTACGCATATGAAAGCATTTGATCAAATGTTTGTTGAAACATCAAAACTGAAATTTACACAAGATCTTTTAAGTTTTTCATTTCTCTTTTAATGCATTGGTGTGGTTGGTCATTAATATACAGTTGTTTGCAGGATAAGATATCAATGGTTGGTGATTCGCCTCTTTTTGTTATAATTGAGAATTGCATGATTATGGTCTTCATTAAAGAAAATCCTCCAAACAACTTCTTTTATTTCAGGAGAGAGCAATTATTGGTTTAAAGTCTAGTAGCTGTCACACCATATAGCAAGAAAATAGAGTTCCAATGATAAGACACAATCTGGTTGCTCCGTTTGAACAAATCCAAAAAATATTTCAATAATCACAGAAGAAAGAACAAAAAATAAGTCTTATCATGGAGAAATAAAGCGAATGAAAATGACAGTAAAGACTGTTGAAAACATTAACGCTCTTTTTTCTCTGGATTAATTTCTGTTTCTTTTCTACCTAGAATTGTAAATAATTTTCTTTTGGAGTGATAGAAAAAAAAAGAAAGTTTTAAAACAAAATAAGCAAAGAGAGAGATCAAAAAACATCAAAACAAAAGCCATCACATACAATTATGTTGAGAAATAGTCTATTTGGGACACTTCATACCAATTCAGATTACCTTGGATAGCCATCACGTCTTTCAATAAACTCAGCTACTTCCTTTCTTATCCCTGGGAGACCTCTAGAATCACTGTAAGCACCTAGTAGTACAAAAAATCGTAATCAGCATGGTACAATTATATGTTGTCCTGCCTGATAATTTTTTTGGTTATGTATGACCAGGTTTTGTCGGGTCCAGTCCCGAGTTGCAGTGCCTCCTGAACAGAAGTAGGATGGTCAGAACCAAGAGCAGTTTGTCCTCCAAAACACACTTTTTGGCATGGAACTTGGCAAAACAATAGAAACGACAATGTGATTTTGTAGAAAGGGTTCAAAGAACACAACAATTAAATGGACCATGGAAAACCGTAGTCCATTAGAGTCATCACCATTCAAGGAAATGGTGGACAGTGTTAGAGAATGAGTGGGACCACCCAGAATTCCTATTCCATACTTAACATAACATCAAATCTATAAAGACGGAATAATAACCTTATGATAGAAAAAGATTTAACCATGTGGATTTGATAATACATGTAGGGCACTCTAAAGTTCGTGTTTTGATTGGTTTCATAATATTTAAAATATCAGCTAACAAAAGTACTGTTTGAGAAACATGCAATGCTATCAGATTGTGGAGGATGCAACCCTGACAAATACTTAAAAAGAAAAAAAAAAAGAGAAAAGAATGAGTGCCATGCATGTATTTAAGTGAATCTTAAAACATACCCAAACCACCAGATGTCATAGCAAGATAATGTGTTGCTCTTGCGATAGCATCCGCAGGAAATAGAAGTCCCACATTAGGATCATCTAGCAGGAATGGTGCTTGACATAATGCTACCACCTGAAAAAAGCAATGTTCAAACAAAAAAAAGTCTGATTGGGTAACTTGAATCTTTTAAGCCTTAACACCAAAACTAAGACTTGAGTAAACCTTCTACCTTCAGGCTCTTGACGGTCAATTAAAATGACAAATTTATTATCAAATAATAAGTCCTTCAAATAATTTGGAGCATCTAGTCAGGACCATATGGTCTATACCAAAAGGTATTAAAGGTTCATGAAAATAATCAACCAAATTGCAGAGCGGAGTACCTTTGTAGCATATCCAGGAAATGTAGGAGCAATAATTATTGATGTTTAATAGACTCACATAGGTCCGTAAGTACAATAACACAAAAACTAGCTTCAACTAGAATCTAAGTTGTGCCACCAATACTCTTAAATAGTTCCATACGCCTCAAATCCAAACCACCAAACCAATGTCACATCACACATCACCCCAAAAACCTGTCCAGCTACAACATGTCCTTCAAAAATTCTTTCCCCACCTTAGGGATGCCAAGCTACAAAAGATTCATCAACCCACATTCCTATCTACTAAACCATTCTAGCTTTCCAAGATGATCCTCAAAATTTTCAATCACACACAACTAGTGCCACTTCCCAGAAAGGGAGAGATTTAATGGCCTAAGCCACCTAGTACCTAACCTACATACTCATTACACATGCATATAATTCTTGAACATTAAATTGGTGAGTTAAACATGGTACCATTAACTCTCCTTTTTCAAATTCTTTCGGCCAATTCTTGCTCGCTCAAAAACTTTGACAAAATATTCACCTCAAATTTAATTAAAAAAAATATGATTTCCACTTTGTTTTAGCCAAATAAGGAAAATTAAGAACATATATTAGAGAAACTAGCTGAACTTCTGAATTCCTAATATTGATGACCATGGGAAGTTGTTTCAAAATTTATAAATTTTGACCTTTTCTTGTATTAAAAATGGACAAGGAATCGATACAATGAGGAAACTAATGAATCATTTTATTAGAACAATAAAACATCAAAGCCTTTTAAAAACCCTAAATGTTGCGTATTGTTCTACCCTTGATAAATAGTTCATTAGGTCAGCGCCAAACAAGAGAACATCAGTTAGAGTGGCATAGTTGACAACGAGATACCAAATATTCGAGCTTGGAACCTAATTTCCTCCCCATCAGCAATATATGATGACATGCAAAGTTGTTTGTAAAGCCTTATAACTCAATTAATTATCAAATAAGTGGGACTAGTACGCATGTCAGTACTTGAAGACTAGACAAGTAATATGAATTTTAGCTATGTTACATGGACTCTTCAACAAGGGTCCCCGTACTTTTGTCGAAGACGTACTGACATGCGTACTAGAACGGATTCTTCTGGACTCGCAATTGGATTGGGTGACTTTGGGAAATGGAAGGTATGGCAGAGCACTACACCTAAGACCCAATGGCATGGTGGGCAAAACCATAGGGATTTCAATTTTGGTGTTGAATTAAAAGCATTTGTGATCCATCATATGTTTCGTGCATTATTATTTTTTACTTTAGAATCGTGGTGAATCATGTAAATGACACTTCTTATCTTCCATGATATCATTAATTGAGTATTATGAACTATTTGCTAGTCTTTATAAGTATCTATCATATCTATCATCAAATGATCAAAACTTAGAAGAATATAAACAATGATTAAAAAAATGCTAAGAACATAGTAAGTAAAGCTAAGCTTAAGGTATATGATGATCTATACAATAAATTGGGAACAAGAAAATGTGAAAAAGATGTCTTCAAACTGGAAAAAATGAGAGAGAAAGTGTAAGAATCTAGATCATGTTAAATGCATTAAGAGTGAGGATCAAAAGTTCTTCATGAAGGAAGATGAGGTCAACAAAATGTGGAGAACTTATTTTTCAAATTTGTTAAGTGACGAACATTATGGGAGCACAGGGCTAGGACGAACCTTTGACATACATAAGATCGGAGGTCATAGATATATTTGTAGGATTAGGATATCTGAAGTCAAAGAAGCTTTGAGAAAGATGAAGATAGGAAAGACTTTAGGACCAAATGGTATCCCAATAGTTTTGGAAGGGCATGGGAGAGATTTGTGAATTCTGGTTAACCAAGCTATTCAACTAGAGGTCGACAACAAAGAAAATGTTAGATAAATAGAGAAAAACTTGTGGTATCTATTTACAAGAACAAAAGACACCTATAGAATTATACGAACTATCGAAGGCTCACACTCATGAGCCAACTATGAAGCTGTGGAAGAGAGTGATTGAGTAACGACTAAGACAAGAAACGAGTCTTTCAAAAAATTAGTTCGTTTTATGCAAGAGAGCTCAACAATTGAAGCTATTTCCTATTTAGAAAACTGATTTGAGAAGTTTAAGGAGAAGAGGGAAGACTTCCACATGATCTTTATTGAATTAGAGAAAGCATACGATAGGGTACCTAGCGAGTTAATTTAGTGGGTGATGGAAAAGAAATGAGTCTTTAGAGGATACATTGACATGGTGAGAGATATGTATGAGGGTGCACTAACTAGCGTGAGGACAACTAGTGGAGAGACAAGTGAGTTTTCAATGACAATAGGTCTATATCAAGGCTTAGCATAGAGCCTCATACCTCGTTCTTTTGGTTATGAGCAAATTAACTAGGCATCTATAGGATGAAGTATCATGGTATATATTGTTTGCAGATGACATAGTTTTGATTGATGAGACTAGAAATGACATAAATTTAGAACTTTAGAAGGATGCTCCAGAATCTAAAGTTTTAAAATTAGTTGGACTTAGACAAAATATATGGAATGCAAATTTAGTAAGAATAGGATTGGAAACGAGGTAGTCATTAAGATTAATGACTAAGAAGTACGTACAAGAGAATATTTCGATATATGGGGTCGATATTCCATAAGAATGGAGAGATTGAAGAAGATGTCATAGATGGAACTAGAACTGGTTGGGCAAAGTTGAAATGTGCTTTCAGAATTTTATGTGATCGTCGTATACCAATGAAACTGAAGGGGAAGTTCTACAGAACGGTTGAGATGAGGAATTAAGATGGACGAGTAGCAAGACAAGAAATGATAGAATTCGGAATGAATATGTCTGAGAGAACCTAGGGGTGGCCCGAATATACGACAAGATGACGAAAAATAGACTTAGGTGGGTTGGCCATGTGCAATGTCGACCTAGTACAACACCGGTGAGAAAGGGTGATCTGTTTGAAGTGGAAGACTCTAAAAGGGTAAGAGGAAGACCTAAATGGACATGGATGAAAGTACTTAGAAGGTATATGGTGACTTATGGTCTAACTAAGGGTATGGCCCTTGATAGAGTAGAATATCACAGGATTTGTGTAGCTGATCCCAAATAGTTGGGATAAGGCTTGGATGATGATGATGATTAAATATAGGGATTGTACTATGAGACCATTTACTTTTGGTATAAGGAGGTCACAATTATTTTTAACCATTGGATGTGAAATCCAATAGATTGAAGTCTGTTATGACATTCGAAAAATTTTATTTTGGACTTTGTGCTCAATCATTGACACATCCTTAACCACCCAATTTCACATCTAATGGCCTAATAATAATTGTGACCTCTTTGTATCAAAAGTGGTCTTATGGTATAAGGAGGTCACAATTATTTTTAACCATTGGATGTGAAATCCAATAGATTGAAGTCTGTTATGACATTCGAAAAATTTTATTTTGGACTTTGTGCTCAATCATTGACACATCCTTAACCACCCAATTTCACATCTAATGGCCTAATAATAATTGTGACCTCTTTGTATCAAAAGTGGTCTTATTATATATGGAATATATACATTTACATATGTATGTATATATCTATATATATGGGTGTGTATGTGTATAGCCGTGTCGCCAAATATACTTTTACAAGTATGAAAAATCTAACACCTCGTGCCTGTGTCCTGCTCCGACACACACACGCATATCCATGCAACGTAGATAAATAGTCTGAAGCCAAAAATCCATAAAAATGAATCGTACCCTTACGATGCATAACCAATTCTCAAATGAAGGGATAAATGACTGATAAATCATTTTAATACAATTTAAGAAGGATAATTTGAACATGTCGAGCTCACATCTTGGAATGATAAGGATAAATTGAATGACTAAACACCTGGTACTACATGTTAATAAGAACAAGATCATTTTCTCATGTGGGTTTGATATGGCTAACCAATGTATAATACTATCTTTTGTAGAGAATATTTGTAAAGGGTTCCTAGAATTATCATAACATAGTTGCTCAAGTATGCAACGCAAAACACAACATCCCAATTAACAACCTCATATTTCTCACCGGGCACAAAAGAGCATCAAAAGAGATACACTAGAAATTCAAACTTAAAGCATTGCATTGTGGAATAATACGTTTTAACCTGCAATTTGAGAAGGATTAGACGACTTGTATTATTTCATCCCATTTCCATATTAATTGAAATTCAACGATAGAAGTTAAACAGTGTTTAGGAGATGGGATGACGTCTTGTAGTGTTGGGGCTTAAAGCTCCCTTAAAAAAAAAAAAAAAAAAAATGGTGACAAAGAGTGGCTTGGAGCTGTTAGTCTCAATCTAAGGTTTAACCTCACAAAAAAGAGCACAAACCAACATACATATTCGCATGTGCATGAGTGCGTGGATGCACACACAGGCACAAAGCACACACACACATAGGGAGGGAGGGAAGGGGGGGAGGAGAGAGAGAGAGGAGAAGAGAGAGAGCGAGAGAGACAAACAGACATACATGGCAGATACCAAAGTCTTCCTATTCATTTGACTAAAGAGGAGGCATTATTAAAATAATCATGAACCTGGCGAGGAAAAGTCAGTGGCTTCTGTCCCAGAGCGTGGGGATTACCAACATTTGTAAAAATAATCTGCAAAAAAGAAGTACGACAGTGAAATAATGGAAGAACTGTCATGCAATATAATCATATGCCTCCACATACATACATACGTAAGACATACACACACACACACAACCACACGCATGTATGTATGTGTGGTTGTATGATTTAAGAAAGATAATGAAGACCTTTTTCCCTTCTTTTTGAAGCTCAGAAGCACGAAGATATAGCTCTCCTCTCACAGCATATACAGACTTCTTCACATTCTCATTTAGTGATTCATAATCTAATGGCTTTGGTGCCATGATGATGCGGCTATTATTGAAGCTGCCAATAAAGATAAGGATGTGTACTCCTTTTGCTACAATAGTCCAACGTTTAACCTACAACATTAGCCTGATAAAAGAAAACAAAGAGGATGTTAACTTAACTATCAAGGAAAAGAAGAACTATAAATATGAAACAATAAGAGTGTCGCAATAGTAATCATGCCCGTATGTCTACAAACAAGGGTCCTATTCTTTTTCCTTTTCATGGACAATGATCATAATCGATTTCATAAAACAAAAGCAATAAACAAAAGGAGGCAAAGAAGATTTCACCTTTATTTTCTTTTCCTTTTTTAATATTTCATCAGTTCAAACAGGGTAGCATTGGAGATGAGATATAGTTAATAAATTTAGATAGTATATCAAAACAAACTGTTAACAACCTGACAAAATTATCAAGGCAGATGACAATCAATATATAAGAAGAGAATAGAAAATTTGATGATGGGCTCATTCAGGAAAACCCAAATTGTACTGAAGTATGACACACTAAAACATAATAGCAGGAGACATCCAAAAATGTCTAAAGACATAAATTATGATGCTGACAAAAAAAATTCAAACTATTCACTAAATTTCAACCAAATTGGACTAGAGAGAACAAATTCCCACAGGGAGAAAGTAAAACTAAGAAATGACCAAGAGAAAAAGGTAATTAAACAAGAGACTATACCAGAAAAAGTCCCAATTAATTCGTAATACGAATACTCAAATTATTCATATCATAATTTCAAGACTTGCCTAAACAGTAATTTCACCAGAAAAGTAAAATAGAAAGCACTTACAACGTCAAAAAGACAGAATAAAAAGAATCAATTAATTCTACGTATCTTATCAAAGTAATGTCACTTTTCTCTCATATTATAACTTAACCACTCACGAACAAAAACACAATAACAGAACCCATATCCAGAAACAAAAAGATCCCAAAAGAATCTGCAAAAATTGGGACAACCAAGAGCCAGAAAAATGAAATTCACCACACTAAGAAGCTCTTTTAAACTATAGAAATTTCATAACAATTTGGTAAGCAGAAAATACAGCTTGAAAAGGTACAAGAAACTCCAGAAACATTCTATTACTTGCTGATTGATAAGGAATATAAGAATATGGCTGGAGAAATACCTAGAAAAAGGAAGGGATAAGACCTTCTCCTTTGAGCACAGAGGAGAGCAGTGTAGTATGAAACCGTGATCACTTATTTAGCCTCAGTTCATGAGAGATGATGATATCTGGATATGGAAACACCGCAACCACAGATTATATTAAAGGGAAATTCATAATGGAGAGTTGTTGAGAGAGAATGGAAGACCACAGCCACCGAAAATAATAATTAAAATTTTCAAATGGAGTGTTTAGAGAGAGAGATGACATATTTTATTTTTTTTGTTTTTTGAGAGTAGAGAGGAATAAAATAATTAAAAGTTTCAAATGGAGTTTTTAGAGAGAGAGAGGTGGACATATTTTTATTCTTATTTTATTTTTTGAGAGGAGAGAGGAATAAAATAAACTTAAAAAGGTGCATGGGTCGTCGACTGTTTGGTCCAAGCTCACTGTGTCATGATTCAAAAGCGACTTTCTTTGGCTGGTAGCAGTCCGCTCGCAGCGGAAGTCTTTCGTTTCTTGTTTGCCTTTTTAGGGCACGTTTGATTGGTGCGGAAATAATTCTCAATAAATATTTTTTATGGTAAATTTGCCTTACCGTAAATACCTTACGCATGTTTTTTTTTTTTGGGTAAGGCCATGGGAGAGGCCCCTACTCTTTGGTGGGAATTGATCTAGGATGTAGCATTGTAAATCGTTAAGTGCTAACCAATTGTGCCTGGGCCCTTTTCCTATCTTACACATGTTTAACTAGGGAAGAAAGCATATTTATATATCTATCTATCTAGCTATGATTTCATGTAATTGTTATATAGTAATATGATGTAACAACCTTAAAAAATTATCTTATGGCCATTTGTTTGATCCAGATTTTGAAATATACACTCTTTTCATTCTAATGAACAATCACAAAAAAAGGAAAAATTGAAAACACAACCTAAAAAATATTTTTTTAGCCCAATTAACATAGATCGTTCATTTTGGTTAGATGATTAGATCTAGGTCTTAAAAGGATTTTTTCATTTCCAATTTTTTTTATATGACTTTATTATCATTACATGAACAATGTTAAAAAAGGAAAAATTGATTTTGAGCTTATAAAGGCTAAGATCTTGAAATTCCCAAAATGAATGGTCTAGATTCGTTTTTGGAGGGGACTCATTTTGACCATAGGGTTCAAATTGAACTTTTTTTTTTTTTTTGGGGGGATTGATTATCAAGATGAAGAGAATGTGTGCGTAAAATTTGGGGTCATACAAATACTATAAACATGGTTTTCTAGAAGTATCGTTCATTATACTATGATACAACCGTTGCATTGGATCATTGCTCCTATCTATATCTACATCTATGAGCAGCGATTTTATGCAGCAGTTGTATAATAATATGATGCAACAATCTTAAAAAAATATGTTAAAGTAATTTGTTTGATCTAAATTTTAAAATCTATACTCTTTTTATTCTAATGAACAATCACAAAATAATAATAATTGAAAACGCAATATAGGAAGTATTCTTTTAGCCCAATTAACATAGATCATTTATTTTAGTGAGATGCATAGATCAAGGCTTTAGAATAATTTTTTTTTCTTTCCAAATTTTTTAGATATTTTATTATCATTAGATTAACAATATTAAAAAGGAAAAAAATAATTTTGAATTCATAAAGTCCTAGATATTGATATTCATCAAATGGACGGTCTAGATTCATTGTTGAAAGGGACTCATTTTGACCATATATATGGAACAAATTACTTTTTCTTTTTCCTTTTTTTGGAGATTAACTATTGAGATCAAGAGAGTGTGTGCAAAATGTTGGGCCATACAAATACCATAAACATGGTTTTTTAGAAGTGTGGTTACATTATACTCTGATACAACCGTTGCATGAAATCATTGCCCTTATATCTATATAAGGGTGGTAATAGACCCGGACCCGACCTCTGGAACGGATATGGGGCAAGGTATGGATCCAAGAATTGGACCCAATGAGTTTGGTGTAGGTCCAAATATTGAATACGAATCCTATTTGGGTCCGAGTCCAGGTCAATGTGGACCCGACCTAAGAAGTGTTTTTATATAAATAAAATTTAATAGATGTTTAATTAATTTTTAAATGAATATAACTATATGTTATAATATTTAAATAATAAATGTATATATTTAACATAATATTTTAATATATTTATATGTATATTTTTTTATTTTTGGGTTAGGACCAATCGAGTCTGGGTACAAGTCCCATAATTTTTTTTAGGTCGGGTCAAGGTCAAGGTCTAGGTCTAGCTAGACCCAACCCGTTGCCAACCCTATATCTATATGTACTACCCAGAGGGTTGGGACATATTGCAACAATAAGGAGCCCTAATTCTTAAGAGATTATGAGGCAACACATTCCCTTCTTTAAAGGAAGACAGACTTTTAAGAGAGACAAATAAAGAGTTATCTAGGGTGGGGTTTCTATAAGGTTGCAACTTTGGACAAAATAATTTTTACGGGAAGACAGACTTTTAAGAGAGACAGATATATATATATTTTGTTATGCAGATACAAAATAATTTTTTTTAGATCCTTTGGATTTGGACATGGATCCAAATCTTATGTATACTTTTCAGATTCAGATCCAGATTTTATTATTCTTCATCCAGATCCAAATCTCATGGATACTTTTTGGATTTGAATCCGAATCCTAGTGGATCTGGATCAGATCCCACCCATTCTTGACCTTAAGGAGGATTGGAGATGGATAGGTTCTCACTCGGTATAGATCCAATTCTCCCTCGGTATATACCCTGGCCAAGGGAGATATGCAAGAGAGAGGAGAGAGAATGAGGTACAGAGGAGAAAGGTTTTGAAGAAAAAAAAAAAGAAGGGAAGAATGGCTATAAAGAGAGGCCGAATTTGGAGAGAAAGGGGAGTACTACATAATGTTGGGCTGGGATGGAAGAAAACATAGCCCGACGAGCCAAGGAAAAATTATTTCCATCAGAAATAATTGGAGTCCTACCCAAAATGTTTTGGATGTTATTTTTTAGTTCACCCAAGCATATTCATATGCGTGTGTCACCATTAGTGGCATATAAACATATAGATATTGTTAAGATGTGTAGCAGTTTATGTGTACTTCCATACATATTTTCACTATTATTTGTACCCTAATATCCATACATATTTTCACTATTATTTGTACCCTAATAACAGATATATATAGAGAGCGAAAGAGTTGTATAGGGACCCTAAGAGAGAGAGTATACATCTTTGTACTTTTCATTTCGAGAGAGAGAGATGTGTAGTATATATTAGAAATTTGAATATCATATTTATGTAGTCTTGATTATAGTATCTACATATTTATCCTAAATGCAGAAAGAGGAAAATAACATAATTTTTAAAAAGACAAAATTGGTGGAAAGATATGGATTTGTATGAAGTATTGTTCTCAATGAAGTGAATTTATTTGTTAACATAATTTGTAGGGATTCAACATATCAAGGAGGATTTTGAAAGAATTTGATGGATGAGGAGATCTCAACAACGACCCGATTTCAGTCTAGAGATAATACCACAACTTAACTACTAAAAGAATGAATCTTTATACTCTTTTATATTTTTATTTCAAATAATAAAAATTTTGAGATGATAAATACTAAATGGAAACTCATTATCTCTTTTAAATTAAAAATATTTTCTCTCTACACACCATATTGCAAGATAAGACTCCTTACAAATCTCTTTTCAAGTAGGAGTGTCTATTTATGGATAAATCTCCTCAACTAAAGAATTTTTTTCTCAAATCTCCTCAACTAAAGAAATTTTTTCTCAAATATATAAGACATTTGATGTACTTATTTCATCACCCTCGACGACATCCTCTCTTTCTCTCTCCAAGACTTCCTCCCTCTCTCTCTCTCTCTCTCTTTCTCTCTCTCCAAGACTTCCTCCCTCTCTCTCTCTCTCTCTTTTTAAAAAAACTTTTTTATTTGTTTCTTTTTATAAGATTTTGTGTTTATGTTTTAAGTTTTTTTATTGATATGTATTGTTTAATTTATTATAGATATTGGAACATTTATGCTCTCTCTCTTTTTTAAATTTTTTTTTTATTTGTTTCTTTTTATAGGATTTTGTGTTTATGTTTTAAGTTTTTTTATTGATATGTATTGTTTAATTTATTATAGATATTGGAACATTTATGATAAATTAACAGAGAAAACAATAACAAGGTATGTTCCAATTCCGTACATATGTCTTATGTTGTTCTTCGTCTATTTTCTTCTTTATTTTCTAATTTTGAGAACTTACTTAATAACCATTAAATTAGAAGTATGATTGCATGATAAAATAGCTTTATTTTTATAATTAATAATTTTAATTTTCCTAAAAGTAAGTTATTTTTTTTATTTTCATCTTTCTAAAATTGCAATAAATTTTAATTTTACTTAAAAGTTTTTAAAGATTTGAAAGTAAATGCATTGTCCTGATTACTAGGAAAGTAAAAACCAGCTTTAGATCTCTTTTATTTTAAAACTTTGAATTTTTAATACTTTAAATCTTTATTTACATATTTTCCCTTTTTAAGAGCTTTTAAGTTATAAAAATTGAGTTCATCTTTTAGCAAATTTTCCATGTTCCATAAATAGTTTGTGATCTGTTCTCATAACTCTAATACTTTGGCATAATTTTTTGGGAAGTAAAATAATGATATTTTATATCTTGCGACCATTAGATAAATACATCAAAATTTTATCATTGTCTTTCTATTTTTTATTTTTTTGAATTTTTTATTTATTTTTTGTGTCTCTCCTTCCATTAATGTTTTTTTTTAATTTTTTTGTTGTTTATGTTTTTTTTTGTTTTTCATGTTTCTTCTTGAACTTATATTTAAAATGTATCAATTATCATTTTTATTTTGTGAACATTTTTCTCTCCTTGAATTTATATGGTTTCTCAGATTTTTAGAAGTGATAAACCTTAAAAAGTTTAAAAGTTAAATTTCTATATCTTCCAATATTCTCTCATGATACCCAATGAAAAATTCTAAATTCCTCACACCCATCACTTTCTTATCTCTCAAATCTCTCTCAAAATTATAAGAAACATAATCTTTAGGGACAGATTTGGTTATTCAAAAAGAAACTCAACATGATTTCCTTTTTTTTTTTCTCTACCAGTTACAGAACCAAAATTACGGAAAATTCTAAAATCCTCACACCTATCACTTTTTATCTCTCTCCTCAAA